GGAGTCTCTCCCTCACCTCTGGCAGCGAGGGCCCGGCCGGGTAAGGAAGACGCCTGGAGAAACTAACATGTCTCTCTTTAAACAGCGTTTTCTAGGATCACACCCTGAGACTGCCTGGGTCTTGACTTCCACAACCTCAGCCTGACGACTGCTTGTATAGGGGCTGAGCCCTGATGGGCTCCTCCGCTAACTGTTTTGAGAGCCGAGGATCTGGTCAAGGTGCTCCGACCCACTGAGCTCCTAACACACCCGCAAGGAGGGCGGAACTCTGCGCCCAACCGAAGGGAGGAGGCTGAATCGTGAACTTGAACGACCACGCCTTCCAGGCTTAAGGAAACAGGAGCCCTTCTACTGAGTGCTGTGCTGCGTTCCTTGCTAGATTCCCCAAGGTCCTCTGGCATCCTCTTACATCCCTAGAGCTGTCAAGAGTGCGGACTCTGGTTTTTCGAGGCAGCCCAGCCAGCAAGCCCAAGGCTTTCTATGCTCCGCTTGTTTTGTGTGACAGCAGTTTCTCTTCATCGAGAGGCCCTACTCAGATCGCTGTGGAAGTGGCCTTTTTCCTTCCGGGTAACAAAGAAGGCAGATCATAAACCAATACTAATAACCAGAAAGTCAACACTTGGCAACTCGTCCCCAAAGACGATGAGCGGAGAACTGGAAGGTGTTCCCTAACTCTCGTAACCCTGACAAGAGTGCAGCCATTTTAAAAAACAAGCAATCCTCTCCCCAGATTCCTGGAGTGCTTCAAGACCAGAATTCCTGGAAACACCCAACGCATATCCTGGTCCATACTAGAAATATGCCCATAATCCTGACCCGCATTTGAAAAGAGCCCCAAGCCATACGCTGGGCTCACTTCCCCATTCCAGCTATACTGACAAGGCCTTTTGCAACAGTGTGGGAGCTGAGTTGACTCCTAGTCAGACTCCATTTTCCTCTTCACTATAATAAATCCTTTCCTTACCCCTGGACGGGCCCCCTCTCCTTTGCAGACCTTCACCCCAGTTCTATACCAGAACCTCTCATCTTTATGTTGCACTGGGGGGAAAGGAGGCAGTGAGGCCTGTCCAGGGGCCACCCCAGACCCTTGCCACTGCCTTCCTAATGCCCAAGGCCACACACTAATTCCTTAGGACTCAGTAACCTGAAGGAAGGGGCTTCTCTTCCTCTGGGATCTCCGGTTCCTCCTCCGTCAACTGAATCCTCCAAAAATCCTAGCACTAAGTGGGGATACCTCCCCATCTGGGATCAGTATCCCAATCTCCCCAATACCTTCTCTTGGGGACACGTCAGGGACAGAGTTGGGATTTTCTGCACTTTGGCCAGCTTTACAGCAATGCCAGGACCCCGGTTCTATGCCAGAGCCTCTCAGAAGAGAAAGTACTGCGATACTCTACAGAGTTTGACCAGGAAAGTACTCTGTAAATTTACTTTCTGAAAATATTTAGAAAGCAGCAGTGAGGCAGAGTAAGAGTAGACTCCATCCTTTCTCCAACTTTGTTTTTAATTTGGTCTTCGGCACAGGAATTGGGACAGTGATCAGTCCTATGAGAAACAACTCTGACCCACAATAAATACCTCCAAATTCTGCCTAGCACCTTACAACCAGTCACATTCCCTAAGAGGGGATGAGCTGAAAAGAGACTGATTTAATTGACTATTAAACACTAAATTCCTCACTGAAATCCTTCTAATACAGTTACAGTGTTCAATGTTCCAGGAAACAAAATTTGAAACACAAAAGCTGAACAAAGATCTAAAACTGAATCTTCCAGGAATTTATTTTCTAGTTAGAAACCTGCCTAGAAAGTATTGATAATTAGTGATCCTGGGTGATGGTACATGGAGGTTAATTACACAATTTAATCAACTTTTGTGTATGTTTGAATATTTCCATAACATTTTTAAACTGCTGATTACAATGATGAGGAAAGGGGCAGCTCCACCTTTCTGTTCATAAAAGTGGGATTGTTAACTCCAGTATTCCACTGAGAACCAATTACTTCCACCTCCCCTGAAAATCACAAACCCATTCCTTATTTCTTCCAGGGAACTGGAAAGGGCAGACTGCAATATAAGACAGTGTAAGTAGCAAATGCCTCCTGACGAGTTGGCCTTTATGAATTAAAAAACCAAAAGATCATTGATACCAAGTCTCTGATAAAATTAAAGCAGAAAATATGTCAACCCATTACGTGTAGAGTCACAAGTACAGACAGCTTTAGGAGACCTCACTAGGATGTGGAATAGCCCATAAAAAGTGAACTTATTCTTCATCAAATTTCAAAACCAAAACTCATTTTCTGTTTGAGTGCCAGAGATTAGGATTCACATTATCTCATTTAATACTGCAAAACAAGCTATTGGAATAAAAGGTTATTCTTTTCATCTTTCCATTTCCAGTAGATGAACTATAACTAGAAATATGTACTCAAATTTTAAAAGACCTCTTACTTTTTGACTGCAGTCATGCCTTGAATTAAACCAGATTTATGAATTCTAAACTTTTCTTTTTTGAGACAGAGTTTCACTCTGTCCCCCTGGGCAGAGTGCCATGGTGTATAGCTCACAGCAACCTTAAACTCCTGGGCTCATACAATCCTTTTGCCTCAGCCTCCCCAGCAGCTGGGACTATAGGTGCTTGCCACAGCACCCAACTATTTTTAGAGACAGAGTCTTGTTCTTGCTCAGGTTGGTCTGGACCTTCTAAGCTCAAGCAATCTACCCGCCATGGCTCCCAGAATGCTAAGATTTCCGGTGTAAGCCACTGCGCCCAGCCCAGGTAACTAGGGGGACAATATGTTGGGGTATATTTAGGGCATGAAGAAAAAGGAAAAACTCATAGAGAATAGCATGAAAAATCTTCACAAAAACTCCTCTTTGCTCACACCTTTCTCAGATTTTTGGCTTCCCTTTTCTCCATTTCTCTATTTAAACTGCTGCTGACATCTATTTTCAAAAGATTTCATTTGTGTTAAGAATAACTGTGGATAGCACCCTGGTGGGTTTTGTCCCACCATACACCTCCCTAACTTTAGGGATAACACTGGGATTTGTGAAAAAGCAATATATAATAAAGAAGGCTATCCCAAAGATGAAGAAGACTAAAGGTTTTTGCCCTTTTTGATAAAATGACCAGATAAACATTAAAATTATAAAGTAACAAAAAAAATTACAAAGTAACAAAACTTCTCTTTAGTAGGACATTTCATTGCTAATAATTCATTTTGTCATTTTATGAAATTTTCAATTATTCCTTCCATGCAGGTATTTCAATGTTTTTAATTAATTACAAGTATAACTTTAAATTAACTATATGCAAAAACATAGTCCTAATTTCTGCTTAGGTTCTATTGCCAAGACTGCTATTAAAAAGCCCTTCCAGGCCAGGCACAGTAAGTAGCTCATCCCTGTAATCCTAGCACTCTGGAAGGCCAAGTTGGGTAGATCACTTGAGCTCAAGACCAGCCTGAGCAGAAGTGAGACCCTATCCCTACTAAAAATGAAAAATTGAGGCAAAAGGATCACCTGAGCCCAAGAGTTTGAGGTTACTGTGAGCTATGACACTATAGCACTTCACTGAGGGCAACAAAGTGAGACCCTGTCTCAAAACATAAATAAATAAATAAATAAATAAATACAGCCCTTCCTAACTTGCCCTTAAGCTATAAATTCCAAAGATTTCTAGCCCTATTGTATAACCTCTTATAAATTTTACCATCTAGTAATGTGTTTTATCCTCCTTTGTAACATATATATTTCCTATCTTGCATTGCCTAGAACATTCAAGTCATTTTTTTTTTCTTTTTGTAGCGACAAGAGTGTCACTTTATCACCCTCGGCAGTGCTGTGGCATCACAGCTCACAGTAACCTCCAACTCCGGGGCTTAGGGGATTCTCTTGCCTCAGCCTCCCAAGTAGCTGGGATTACAGGTGTCCACAACAATGCCTAGCTATTTTTTTGTTGCAGTTTGGCGGGACTGGGTTTGAACCTGCCACCCTCGGTATATGGGGCCAGCGCCCTACCCACTGAGCACAGGTGCCACCTCAAGTCAGTTTTGAATAATAGCTATGATAAGGAGTAATTCTGGTGTTTACTGTTTAAAATGAAGGTGGCCAATATTTCATGATGAATGTCAAATATTTATAAAATTCCCTGTAAGTATCTATCATAAAGATGATCTGGTGGTATTTTTTTTCATTATATTTAAAAATATAATGTAGTATAAGATTTTATATAGAAACTTTCTATATAAAATAGAGAGAATGTTGATAGTGTTGCCTGATTCTTTATTTCAGGTTAGGGACTATCTAGGAAGGTGAATGTAGTAAATCAGAGTGCCTAGTAGTAGTTGTAGGCCTTCCTTTTCCACATAATTGAAGAAATTTTTTATCTTCAGCTCGTAGAAAGATCTAGTCTGAATGTTTACCAGATATGTAGGAATATGAATCTGGAATGTAGGCAAATATATTATGTGACTGAACCAGATAGGTTATGTCTTACCTAATACAATGACATTCAGCAAATTTGAGTTAGACATAAAGAGTAAGTTTAGAAGTCTAAGAAATCTAGAACTTTTTGATGAATGGCTTAATATCATCTAGCACAGGACACATGAATTTTAGTTTTCAATCCATCATGTGATGTGTCTATTAAAGAAATAAATACAATGTTGGACTCTACATATACAGTATTTAGATTGAAAGTGCTAGGCCTTCTACTTTTGGAGCTAATTTCACCAACCAAAGTATGACTTTAAGTTCTAAGAGCCTAGAATGTATTTTATCCTACTTTCTAACATATCTATTCCTATCTTGCATTGCCTAGAACATTCAAGTCAGTTTTCAATAATAGCTATGGTAAGGAGCAACTCTGGTATTTACTGTTTAAAATTAAGGTGTCTGATATTTCATGATGACTGTCAAATCATGATGACTGTCAAAAGCTAGATGAGTTCTAAGATACAGAAAAACTATATCTTAAGAAAATGTATAAAATAGTACTTGCCTGGGCAGTACATATATTAAAATTGGAACAATACGGAGAAGATTATCATGGCCCCTGTATAAGGATGATAAACAAATTCATGAAGTATTCCATATTTTAAAAAAAGGAAATTATATGAAACAATACGTAGAAATCTATGTTGGGTCTATAACATAGGAATAAAAATAATCAATGTGCCAATTATAAAAGCACAAAAGAAGTGGGTGAGGAATGGCTGCATCAGGTAAGGAAATGATACCAGATGGTATTATAATTTGGATCCACAGGAACAAATGAATATAACTAGAAATTACAAGTAAGAAATGTTCTGAATATACAATTGTTTTCCTTTCTTCTTCTAGCATCACTAAAATATGTAAAATTACATAAAGTAACAATTATTATAGCAATGTTTTGTTGGGTGTGTAATATATACACGTATATTGGTTTTTAAAGTGTAATACGTATTAATGTGTATGGGCTGATGTAACAAATTACCACACACTGGGTGACTTAAGACACAGTTTTTCTCCCAGTTCTGCAGGGGAGAAATCTAAACTCAAGATGTTGGCAGAGCTGCACTTTCTTCAAAGGCTCTAGGGGCACAGCTTCTATTCCTTGCCTCTTCCAGGTTCTGGTAGCTATTGTTCCATTAGAATGTGGACATATCTTTTGGAGGGCCACAATTCAACCCACCACAAGATGTAATATGTATACAAAAACATCAAAGGGGAGGAGAAATAAAGCTATCTAGAAGTAACATTTTATATCTCACTAGAATTAAATTAATATAAATCTAAAGCAGATAGTGATAAGCTAGAATGTATTTGGTAAGCTCAAGAGAAACCTTTGATAAAACATCTCAGAAAATACATTTTAAAACTCATTGAAGTAATTACAATGTAATATTCTAAAATATTCACTTAATAAAAATAATTCAGTAAATGAAAAGTATAGGAACAAAAGAGTATTAAGACATATAGAAAAGAAAGAGGAAAATTACAGACATATATCCAACTATGATAACATTATGTGACTCAATTAGATAATCTAATCAAAAGGGGGAATTTTCAGATTAGATTGTTTTAAATAAAATAGGATCCAACTATATATTATCTATAGGAGACCCTTGTAGATTAACAGAAAAAGGATAAAAAACATTTTATGCAAATACCAACCACTAGAGAGCCAGAATGGCTATACTAGCATCTGACAAAATAGACTATATGACAAATAAAGTTACTAGAAATAATGGACATTTTATAATGACAAATGGGTCAATTAATAAGAAATGAGCAACTATAAACATATTTGCACCTAACAGGAGAGCCCCAAAATACATAGAGCAGAAACTGAAAGGGAAAAAAATAGACAATACAACAGTAATAGTTGGAAACTTTAGGATTTATTTCCAGTAATGGATAAAAACTAGGCAGAAGATCAAAAATGAAATAAAAGACGTGAAGAATATTATAAACCAATCATACCTAAAGGACATCAGTCATAGTTTTTCATCCTGTTATAACAAAATGCCATATGTTGTGAAGGTAATAAACAAGATACATTTATTTTTCATAGTTCTAGAGGTTGGGAAATTCATAATCAAGGCACCAGCGATTCAGTCACTGGTCAAGGCCTACTTGCTGGTTCACAGATGGTACATTCTCACTGTGTCTTCACATGGTGGAAGAGGCAAGGGAGCTCTGTGGGGCCTTTTTTAAGGGCACTAATCCCACTTCCTCTTACCATCTCATTGAGAACTAGGTTTCAACATATGAATTTGAGGGAGACACAAACATTCAGATCATAGCAATATCTATAGAACATTTACCTAACAACAGCAGAATATAATTCTTCTCAATTACACATGGAATGCTATCTGATAGACCAGTGATTTTCAACTGGTGTGCCATGAGAGGATCTTAGGTATGTTGTGAAAACTTTTTAAGATCATTAATTAAATTATTTTCAGAAGAAGTGTAAAGCATAGTAAGTATATTCTTTTTTTTAACTCTGTTTTTAGTCAACATAATTTAAGTTCACCACAGAAGTTTAACTATAGATTCAAGTGTGCCATGAGGTTGGAAAACATTGTGATAGACCATATGCTAAGCCATAAAACAAACCTCAGTAAATTTAAAAGGATTGATTCCATCTCCAATCACAGTGGAATGAAATTAGAAATCAATAACAAGGGGCAGCGCCTGTGGCTCAAAGGAGTAAGACGCCAGCCTCATATGCCAGAGGTGGCGGGTTCAAACCCAGCCCCAGCTAAAAACTGCAAAATAAATAAATAAAGTCTTTTTTAAAAAAAAGAAATCAATAACAAAAAAAGTTTGGAGAATTCACAAATATGTGGGAATTAAACAGCACATGCTAAAGGAACCAATGATGATTAAAAATTAAATCAACAGAAAGATTAGAAAATAACTTGGAATGAATGAAAAAGAAGACAACATATTAAAACTCATTGAATGGAGCTAAAGCAGTGCTGAGAGGGCACTTTATAGCTGTATATGACAACATTTAAAAAAAAAGAACAGTTACAAATCAATAGCATAACCATCCACCGTTAGACATTGGAAAACTAAAAGCAAGATAAACTTAAATCAAACAAAAGGAAGGAAATAGTTATGATTAGAGCAGAAATTAATGAAACACTGAATAGAAAAACAGTAGATATAGACAGTAAAACCAAAGCTGCTTCCTTAAAAAGATCAACAAAATTGACAAAACTTTAACTAGATTGACCAAGAGCCAGAAGACTCAAACTCCTAAAACAAGAAGTGAAATGCTACTGAACTTACAAAAATAAAAGAATTGTAAGGTAGTACTACAAACAATTGTGTGATAATAAATGAGTAACTTAGATGAAATAGAAAGAAATCCCCAAAATACACAAATTACAAAGCCTAGCCAAAAAGAGATGGCAATTCTGAATGAACCTATAAAGAGTAAGGAGATTTAATTAGTGAAGAAGGAGGATCAGAAGGAGAGGGGAACGAAGAGAAGGATGGAGGGGGAAGGAGGAGAAAAAGAAGAACTGTATGCAAATAAAAGCCCAGGACCAAAATGTGTCACCAATAAATTCTACCAAATATTTGAATAAGTATTAATAGCAGTTCTTTCAAATTGCTTCTAAAGAATAGGAGTGAAGACTTTCATTCTGAGGCTAATATTTTCCTGATAACAAAACTAAATAAAGATATCACAAGAAAACTATTGGCTTGATTCAGTTGTGCTGTTATAACAAAATACTCAAGACTGAGTAATATATAAATAACAGAAATTATTCATTGCAGCTCAATTCATAATTGCCAACTCATGGAAGAAGCCCAAGTGCCCATTGACCCATGAATGGATTAATAAATTGTGGTATATGTATACCATGGAATACTATACAGTATTATTTTGTACAGTTTTGGAAGTTGGGAAGCTCAAGATAAAGGTGGCATCAGACTCAGTGTCTGGTGAGGGCCCAGTATGTACTAACAAGATGACACTTTGAATGTTGTTCTACATGGTGGAAGAGCAGAAAAGCAAAAGGTTATAACTGCTCTGTGGAGTATAAAGACTTTAATCCAATTCATAAGGGAGAACCCCTCACAATCTAATCATCTACAAAAGGCCTCACTTCTTACTACTATTTCAGTGGGGTTTTAAGTTTCAACAATTGTTTTGAAGTGAACAAAAACATTCAACCAAAGGAACTACAGACCAATATCTCTTATGAATATAGTCACATATGTCCTCAACAAAATAACAACCAACCAAATTTAGCAATATACAGTTAACCCTTGAACAACCCAAGTTTGAATTACACAAATCCACGTAAAGGAAGATTTTTTTTCTACCTCTGCCATCCCTGAGAAGATCAATCCCCTCCTTCTTTTCCTCCCCAGCATACTAAACATGAAGATGATGAGGATAAAGAAGTTTATGATGATCAACTTCCACTTAATGAACAGTTAATCTATTTTCTTTTCCTTACCTTACTTTATAATAAATAATATAGTACAAAAACATATATAAAATATGTGTTAATTGACTGTTTATGTTTTAAGTATGTTTCAAGTCAAAAGTAGACTTAATTAGTACTTAAGTTTGGGGGGGAATCACAAATTATACATGGATTTTCAACTGTGCTGGAGGCTGGTATCCCTAACCTCTACATTGTTCAAGGGCCAGCTATATAAGAGAGATTATATATCTTGACCAAGCTAGATTTATCCCAGGAACACAATGTTAGTTTAAATCTGAAAATCACTAAATGTAATACACTATATATGTCAGTTTGCTAGTGCCACCATAACAAACTACCACAGAATTCATGGCTGAAACAACAGAATTTATTTTCTCCTAACTCTGGCTAGATGTCCACAATCAAGGCATCAGGAGGGTTAGCTTCTTCTGAGGTCTCTTTCCTTGTATTACAGATGGACATCTTTTCCCTGTGTTTTCATTTTCTCTTCCCTCTGTGTGTATCGATATCTTAATCTCTTCTTATGAGACACCAGTTGTACTGCATTTAGAACCACTTTAATGACCTCATTTTAATTTAATTGCTTCTTTTAAAACCCTATCTTAAATATGATCACATAGTTAGGTACTAGGGATTAGAACTTTAACATATGAATTTGGAATGGGAGGATAACATTCAACCCAAACCCCCTGCATTATGGCTTCCTAAAATGTATGTCCTCACACAAAAATTTCATTTACCTTCTCCCAATAGTCTCTAAATAGTTTTAACTCATTCTGGCATTAACTCTACATCTCGAATCTTATCTAAATTAAGTATTGGGAAGACAGTGGTATAATTCATCCTGAGGCAAAATTTCTATCCAGCTCTGAACCTGCAAAACAAGACAAGTTATACACTTTCAAAATACAATGATAGAACAAGGATAGACACTCCCATTCCCATTCCAAAAGGGAGAAATCAGAAAGAACAGAGTAATAGGTTGTAAGCAAGTCAAAAACCTAGCAGGGAAAATTCCATGAGATTTTTTTTTTTTTTGAGACAGGGTCTTTCTGCTGCGCAGGTTACAGTGCAGTGTCATCATCACAGCTTACTGCAATCTCAAACTGCCAAGTTCAAGTAATCCTCCTGCCTCAGC